ACTACCCTCTCTTCATTCCAATTATTTAACCATACTTGAGAAATACCCTTAACTTGATAAGCGACCAATTCAGCTTTTTCCACCGACGTCACTCCCATGATCATCAAAATCTTATACACCTCATCAATAAACTCTTGAGGATCTTTCTCAACCTTAGAACAATGAAACTCCAGGGGATTCATTCTAGTGAAGTACCTCACTCTAGTGTCCGTTGAACCCATCCTTGGGTTCACGGGAGGTACAACCTCCCTATTTTCTTAAGCCAACATAGCTTGAGCCAATACATGAAAAGTGGCTCAGAATTCGGCATGAGTCACTTCCTTGACCAAAGGGTCGGCTAGAACTTGAGGAGCTTCTTATTCCATATTCTAATTTGCATTCCTTCAAACACATGCTCTTCAAGGGGCCATATCCTGAAAACGCATTGGCAAAGGATTAGGAGAGATACATATTGAGTTAAACTCTATCGCACAAGTTTAGAGTGATGAAAAAAGTTGTTTATCTTAAACATCTTATAGCATCCTATTCATAAATGTGGCACACTTCACACTCATGAATAAAACTTTACTTGATGTGGCTTGGGAGACATCTGAGGATCTTTCTAAATCTTGTGCTCTTAATACTAAGTTTGTCACGAACCAAAGTATACCCTAGGCTCAACATGGCGTATAGAACCCCAAAATACCCTACACAAGCCATTTAGCATACATCATACAAGAAAATAGAAATAAGGATTTCAAAAGAAACAATCTTATATCATCAAAAAGTTTAATAAATAGGAAGTCTAACGTAAGTCTCAACAAGTCATTTACTAATCAAGATAAGTGGTTGGGACGTAACTCATACAGCACGTACAAATGTCTGAAAATTGAAATGACATAAAGCTAAAAAGTGTCTCAGTCCTCGGATCATAAGGACTCACGAATCTTTAAATGCCAAATGAATCAACTAGCCATGAGTGTGAGAGGTAGGAGCGTCAGACCCTACATTATGAAACAATGTAGGCACAAGTATGCATTAGCACATAGAATGTACTAAGTATGACAACAATGCATTATAGTTATGAAATCATGGAAAAAAGGACTTTATATGACATGCAATGACCAAGTTAAGTCATAAGATAAAGGTTTTAAAAACATAAGTCATAATCATGGTCAATGCAAGCTTAATATCTTAAAAAATACTTTGTGAGATACTTTAAAAGTGACCTTAGTTCATTATTGTGGAAATTTACCATTAAACTACATAGAACATGTGAGCTATAACATGGAATCCAGCATACTACTTCTACATCAAACAGAGGGTGTCTTACTTGCCAAAGTAAGGACCATGAGTCTAAGCTAAGGTAGATCCACTAGATAAATTCTTTCTGAGACAACATCCAATGTGGCACATATTAAGGGAAAAGGAGATCGCTACTAGACACCCGACCTTTAACAACAAGAGAGATTCCATCTCAATATCCACTACTAAAAAAACTGTGAATACCGACCTATAAATACCGACCTCCGGAGGTCGGTATTTCTTGAAATACCGACCTAAAACCGACATCCCAGCTTAGGTCGGAAAAAGCTTGGTCGCTATTCAATACCGACCTCTGGAGGTCGGTATTTACTGACCTCTCGAGGTCGGTTTTTATTTTATGTCGAATATTCATTTTTTTAAATTCCGACCACTGGAGGTCGGTATTTTTATTTTTGTATTTTTGAAATTCCGACCTCCAGAGGTCGGTATTTTTATTTTTGTAATGTTGAAATTCCGACCTCCGGAGGTCGGTATTTTTATTTTTGTAATGTTGAAATTCCGACCTCCGGAGGTCGGTATTTTTATTTTTGTAATGTTGAAATTCCAACCTCCGGAGGTCGGTATTTTTATTTTTGTAATGTTGAAATTCCGACCTCCGGAGGTCGGTATTTTTATTTTTGTATTTTTGAAATTCCGACCTCTGGAGGTCGGTATTTTTACTTTTGTAATGTTGAAATTCCGACCTTCGGAGGTCGGCAGTTTTATTTTTGTATTTTTGAAATTCCGACCTCTGGAGGTCGGTATTTTTATTTTTGTATTTTTGAAATTCCGACCTCCGGAGGTCGGTATTTTTATTTTTGTAATGTTGAAATTCCGACCTCCGGAGATCGGTATTTTTATTTTTGTATTTTTGAAATTCCGACCTCCGGAGGTTGGTATTTTTATTTTTGTAATGTTAAAATTCCGATCTCCGGAGGTCGGTATTTTTATTTTTTATTTTTGAAATTCCGACCTCTGGAGGTCGGTTTTTTGCTGCAAAACAGGCAGTGCTGCAATTTTTAGTTGCCCACCTGCATAATTATACCAAAACAACCCAAAGCCAAATAAGCTTCATCCAACCAAAACAAACCAAAGCCAAATAAAATTCATTCAACCAAAACAACCAAAGCCAAATAAACTTCATCCAACCAAAACAACACAATATTTTCAACATATACAAACTATTTCAAAATAAACTTCATCCAACTTCAAAATAAACTAAAATACGATCAAATTAAACAATTCTAAAAATATAGAAGTCTAAAATGTCAAATAGATACAACTACTCTTCATCACCCTCACTCTCCTTATCATTCTCATCACCCTCCTGATCAGATCCATCACTGCTAGCCGGACATGGAGGAAGAATATTTCCCGATTCAAAAAGAAAAGTTAGTTGGGCCTGAAGCGCTGCATACCTTTTGTTCTTTACCTCCTTTGCTGCCGCAATCTCCTCCTCTCTCTTCTTCTCTCTTTCTTCTCTCTTTCGGCTACAGCAGCAAGCTCGGCATTGAGATAAGTTATCTTACTCTCCATTGCAGATATTGTCTCTCTATCCCCACCATCAAAGCTTGAGGATGATGAACCACAATACCAAGACTTCTTCTTCTGATACGCCTTTTCTGGATAGCCGTAGATTGAACCTCTAATCGGTTCACCAGCACTCTGTTTCCAAAGATTCTCGTTTTCTTCTTGTGTAAATGGTCTGTCCTGACTCTCAAGAGGTAGAGTACTATGATATTCCTGAGATATTCGCATATACCTATCCTGTAATTTAATCAAAGAACTCAATGAATAAGAATGTAATATATACAAGGAAAAGAAATTTTTTTTAGTTTGAATGGAGTTCTTACATATGTCTCTTGAGCACGTGGCTCAATCCATCTTTCTTCTTCTGTGGGGTTCATACTTTTCTTGACGTGAGTAACCTTGAACATCTCTGGTACAACTACCGGCCTACCCAACTCTTTTTCCTGCAAATAACATATATATAATTTGATCTCATTAATCTCCAAAAAGTACTTATCAAAAAAGAAGAAAATTATTTTACTAAATTAAGAAAGTATACCATTCTTTCCTTCCTAGTAACCTGGCTAATAGCTCCACCAGTGTGCAAAGAGCCTCCCTTTTCTGATGCGCAAGCCATCTTCCCAATCTCACTCCTCTTTTTAAATTTTTCATCAGTACTCCAATGTTTCAGTAACAAAGCCCATCGCTCCGGAAACATAAACTTAGGCATTCTATTTTTTTTTTCGACAATCACAAAATGTGCTAGAAAACAACTTTGAAGCTTTAAGCTTGAAGTTCACTTGAACGTCATCCTCGTGTTCGGGAGCCCATACATAATATTTCTGTAATAAAAAATTACTAAATATTTATTGTTCAAATGACTAGAGAATTTAAATGTATATGATATGAATTTAATTTATATATATTCTTACCTTAAATTCATTGAACATCTGCCCTTGGTTGTTAAGTGGAATCAAACTCTAATTCGGATACACACCATTATAGTGAGTTCCGATGCACTTTAAAATAATCTTTGCCATACCCACATCCGGACGTAAGCTGAAATACGAATTCATTTTGACGAAGTAGAGTAAACAAAAAATAATCAATCAATTAAAATATAAATAGATAAATGAAAGATGAAACATAATTAAATCATACTTGTATCCTAATGGCTCGATGACGAGTCTCCGAAAATTGTCTCTATCGCCTGGCTGAGGACCATGTGCATCTGAGTGCTGGGTGGTAGGAGTATTAGGCTCTGAGCCATTGGATTCAATATGAAGATTGGAAAGTCCAATTGATCCACTACTAGTATTCAAACTATTGCACTGACTAGCACTAGCTGATGGTATGTTAGACCCACGACCAAGATGTGAATAGCCCTGCAATGTTTGGTAACCTGAACTAGGTACCACAGTGGGTGTAGATATAGTATAACCAGATTGTGGAGACACATGAATAGAGGCATTATGTGACTGGTGTGTCGAGTGAGTAGTTGAAACTGAGGCTTTTTTTGAAATATTAACTCGAGAGGGCTCATCAGATATCACGACCCCAGTGGGCCTTCTCATAGCATTGGCCTTAAATTTCTTTTTCGGATTATCGGATTTTTTTGATTTACCCTTGTCTTTATCTACCATCTATATCAAATAAATATAAAGATTAAAACAAAGTAGTACAAAATAATGTCACAATGTCGAACAAATATATCAAACAAAGTTATCATAACATAAGACTTAATCCAAATAGTCTTTCACAATGTCAAACAAACGTTAAAACTACTAAAATATAAAGTATACTCAAATATGAATAGCTAAAAATCCACCAACTAAACATACAAATTGTTATTCATCCTCTTCGGAAGTTTCTTCATCATCCATCCATTCACATGCATTATCTTCGGAAGTTTCCTCCTCATCTATCCATTCATCCTCTTCGAAAGTTTCCTCCTCACCCTCCTCCATATTTGTTGGCATATCTAACTCTTCTCTATTAACTTCTTCTAAAATGTGATCAGGATGCTCCAAATTCATTTCTAGCTCAGCATCCACTACTTGATGAACACTTGATATTTCATTTTGATATGCAACATCCAATTCATTCTCAACTTCCACTCGCCCCATCGGTTTTGTTTTGATTACAACCCACCAATTAGACTTATCCCTACGCAACGGATAAGGAGCATAGTACACTTGCTTAGCATTTTATGCAATAATAAAAGGATCATAAGCCTCATACTTCCTAGTGTGATTGGCTTCAATGATATTATGCTGCTTAAGCTCCTTCGTACCTCTTGGAGTTGGATCAAACCACTTGCATTGGAAAAGTACTATTCTTTTGATTGGCCAACTCGAATACTCCAACTCTACAATCTCCTGTAGGACGCCAAAATAATCAACATTCTCATTTTGATTTCCATTATCACCTTTAACCCAAACACCACTATTATTAGTTTTCTTATTCTTTGAGTATTTCTCTATGGCAGATTTAAAACCATTTACGTTATATTGGGACATTGTGTGAACTGTAATCGGTCCCCAAGAAATATCCTTGAAAAATTGATCAAATGTGGCGGCATTTTCTGAATTGTAGACCTATATATAATTAGTAAATTAAAAGCAATGTTAGTAGAAGGAAGAGTACACTAATCTCTTAGTAGGTGTATATATTACAACACTTACCCAATTAGTATACCATGTTATAAATGATGGAAACACTTGATCATCACCATATTGGCTCACAAAATAACTGTAGAATCACATTGAAAATACAGTTAGTTTCCTTAATAAAATCGGAGTTGAATATATGTTGTTTACATATTTAATTTTCTTACTCTAAGAAGGGTTGGACTTCTGGACAATTCAACAAGACATGAAGCTCTGCAGATTTTTTCTCCTTTTCGGTAAGTTTGTGCAATGTACGCTTTTTTGAACCCTTACCCGGTTGGTTGAAGATTGATAATGATTGTACTGCAGGATCATTCCCAGTAACATCATGTCGATTAGGTCTGTTTCTCAAACACGACACATAATCATCAAAGTAGTAAGAACAAAAGTGGGATCTTTCTTTAGCTAGATATACTTGAGCTATACAGCCCTCCACCCTATGTTTATTCTTAATACCCCTTTTAGACTTGCCAATGCTCCTGTAAAATTTTATATTAGATATATAATTTCAAAAGATATATTAACGATTTATGAAATAAGAATAAATGTGTTATAGTTACTTACCGCTCAAAAGGATACATCCACCTATATTGAACTGGACCTCCCAGTAGAGCTTCATGAACAAGGTGAATAGGAAGATGTTCCATCACATCAAAGAACCCAGGTGGAAGAATCTTCTCCAACTTATTACTAATAACAACTATATTTTTGGCCATCCGAACCAGATTCTCTACTATCAATGTGCTGGAACACAAGTCTTTGAAGAACAAACTGATTTTTGCCATCGGTTTCCATATGTTTTCAGGCAATCCACAAAAAACAATCGGAAGTAATTGTTCCATAAAAACATGACAGTCGTGATTTTTCATCCCATGCAATATTCCACGCTCAATGTCAACCTTCTTTCCCAAATTTGAGGCATATCCATCTGGCATTTTCAAGCTTTCCACCCACTCACAAATTTTTCTCTTTTGTTCCATTGTGAATGAATAACTAGCCTTGGGCTTAAGTAACTTGTTGTTGGCAGACTCCTGTAAATGCAACTCCGGTCGTCTACAATGTTCTGGTAAGTCAAGTCTAGCCTTAACATTATCTTTTGTCTTGCCAGTTACATCCATTACAGTGTTGAACAAATTATCAAAATAATTCTTTTCAATATGCATGACATCGAGATTATGTCTAAGCAAATTATCCTTCCAATAAGGTAACTCCCAGAATATTCTCTGTTTAGTCCAATAATGTGCAACACCATACCCATCAAATTTGTACAGTGGTTCCTCAGTTACCTTTGGAAAATTTTGAACCCTTTCCCAAATATCATCACCCGTTAATATTGGGGGTGGACCATCTCGTTCAGTTTTATTCTTTTTAAATGCATATTTCTTTCTCCTAAACTCATGATCAGGTGGCAAGAACCGACGATGACAATCAAACCATGAATTCTTTCGGCCATGTTTTAATGTGAATGATTTAGTATCTTCCATACAGTAGGGACATGCTAACTTTCCAGCTGTCATCCATCCAGATAGCATTCCATAGGCAGGAAAATCATTAATAGTCCATATTAAAGTAGCACGCATGTTGAAATTTTGTTTACGAGAAATGTCCCATGTTTCTACCCCCTCAGACCACAACAATTTCAACTCATCAATCAAAGGTTGTAAGTACACATCAATCTTGCTTTTTGGATTACTCGGACCAGGAATGACACAATTCAGAAATATATACGGGCTTGTCATACACATCTCAGGTGGAGATTATATGGTGTAATAAACACAGGCCAACAAGAATATGGTGTAGCCCCAACTGAAAAAGGGGTGAAACCATCCACACACAAACCCATCCTAACATTCCTTGGTTCAGCAGCAAAATCTGGATAAGTTCTATCAAAATGTTTCCAAGCCTCTCTGTCAGATGGATGACACATGACACCAGGTGGCCTTCTATTTTCACGGTGCCATCTCATATGAGGAGCAGAGCTATTTGATGCATACAACCTTTTCAATCTTGGTATAAGAGGTAAATAATGCATTGCCTTAATAGCAAGTTTCTTTCCGGTAGAACCAATCTTATAGCGAGGGTGACTACAAAACTTACAAGACTCTAGATTGACATCCTCCTTATAGTATAACATGCAACCTTTTTCACAACAATCAATTCTTATCGAGGAGAGTCCTAACTTAGACACCAATGCATTTGCTTTATAATAAGAATTAGGAATCTCTACATTGGGATCAACTAATTCCTTCATAAGTTCTATCATAGAGTCCATTGCTCCTTGAGAAATATTATTGTCAGATTTGATACTTAACAATCTAACTGCAACAGACAATTTAGAGTGTTGACTCCCGTTGAACAAAGGACTACTACAATCACGCAATTGTTCATAAAAGATGTTTGCTTTTTCATTAGGAGCTTCTTCTACATTTTCTCCTTGTTCAAAATCAGAATGCATCCCAAAAGCATCATTAATCATATCTGACATTCTAGAACCTTGGAAATAATTATGCTCGGTAGATCTACTACTTTCACCGACAACAAAGTTATTAAACATAGTGTCACTTTCAACCTCACCATGGCTAGTCCAAACTGTATACCCTGGTTTGAATCCATTTATCATAAGATGCATAGCAACAGTCTCTGTTGTATGATATCTCACATTTTCACAATTAACACACGGACACCTAATCAATCTTGAATTTAAAAAATCATCAAGTGTCATTGCATGATTTATAAATTTAGTGACACCTTCTGCAAATTCTGGAATCATACCCGCTCGACCAGGATTGTTTCTATTATACATCCAACTACGATCAGGATTCATCTACACAAACAATAATGATAATTTTAATTCCATCAACTAAATAACATTTGAATTTATTTAAACAACTTAACCACTTTCTAAGTCTAACTAGTTTTGACATATTTATTTTAACTTATTTAAACAACTTAACAACTTTAACTAGTTTAGTTTTGACTTAATTCGAACAACTAAATCCACCAACTAAACCACAATATTTATTTTAACTTATTTAAACAAACTTAACTTTTTAACTTTAACTACATTAGTTTTGACTTAATTCCAACAACTAAATTCACTAACTAAACCGACATTATTTATTTTAACTTATTTAAACAACATAACAACTTTTGAACTTTAACTACATTAGTTTTGACTTAATTCCAACAACTAAATTCACTAACTAAACCGACATTATTTATTTTAACTTATATAAACAATATAACAACTTTAACTAGTTTAGTTTTGACTTAATACAACAACTAAATCCACCAACTAAATCACATTATTTATTTTAATTTATCTAAACAACTTAACAACTTTTTAACTTTAACTACATTAGTTTTGACTTAATTCCAACAACTAAATCCATCAACAAAACCACATTATTTAATTTAACTTATTTAAACAACTTAACAACTTTATAACTGTAACAACTTTTTAAAGCTAAGTGTCAACACTAGATGGACACAAATCGATCTTCCAAGAAAATCAATTTTGTCATCTATAGGATCAACTAGTGTTGATACTTATGCTTAACAAACACATTATTCCTAAATTAAAGCTTAATAGCAACACTAGATGGACACAAATCGATCTTGCAAGAAAATCAATTTTGTCATCAATAGGATCAACTAGTGTTGATATTTATGCTTAACAAATTTATTATTTCTAAATTTAAAGTTAAGTGTCAACACTAGATGGACACAAATCGATCTTCCAAGAAAATCAATTTTGTCATCTATAAGATCAACTAGTGTTGATACTTATGCTTAACAAACACATTATTCCTAAATTAAAGCTTAATAGCAACACTAGATGGACACAAATCGATCTTGCAAGAAAATCAATTTTGTCATCAATAGGATCAACTAGTGTTGATATTTATGCTTAACAAATATATTATTTCTAAATTTAAAGCTAAGTGTCAACACTAGATGGACACAAATCGATCTTGCAAGAAAATCAATTTTGTCATCAATAGGATCAACTAGTGTTGATACTTATGCTTAACAAACACATTATTCCTAAATTAAAGCTTAATAGCAACACTAGATGGACACAAATCGATCTTGCAAGAAAATCAATTTTGTCATCAATAGGATCAACTAGTGTTGATATTTATGCTTAACAAATATATTATTTCTAAATTTAAAGTTAAGTGTCAACACTAGATGGACACAAATCGATCTTGCAAGAAAATCAATTTTGTCATCAATAGGATCAACTAGTGTTGGTACTTATGCTTACCAAATATATTATTTCTAAATTTAAAGCTAAGTATCAATACTACATGGACACAAACACATTATTGAAAACAATTGTACTTGAACTTTAGAAATTTAGAAGCACCAACCTTATCTCCTACTTTGATGAAAGAAGCAATATAGTCTTATATCAACTTTTTTAGATGTTAAGCTTCCTCAGTTGCCTAGCACGAAAAGTTCTAAAATTAGTTATATATAAACTTCAAATCCAAGAATATTAGTTTTATATATATATATATATATTCAAGTTTTAATAAGTTCAAGTTTTCAATTCAAGTTCATATCTAATTTCTAAAATTAATTAGTTATATATTCAAGCTAATTAGTTCCAAGTTCAAGTTCAAGTCTAAGTTCAACTTCAAATTTTAAGTTCATGTTCAAAGTTCAAGTTCAAGTTCAAGTTCTAATTTCAAGTTCAAGTTCTAAGTTCAAGTTCAAATTCTAATTTCAAGTTCAAGTTCTAAGTTCAAGTTCAAGTTCTAATTTCAAGTTCAAGTTCTAATTTCAAGTTCAAATTCTAAGTTCAAGTTCTAATTTCAAGTTCAAGTTCAAGTTCTAAGTTCAAGTTCAAGTTCTAAGTTCAAGTTCAAGTTCAAGTTCAAATTCTAAGTTCAAGTTCAAGTTCTAATTTCAAGTTCAAGTTCTAAGTTCAAGTTCAAATTCTAAGTTCAAGTTCAAGTTCAAGTTCTAAGTTCTAAGTTCAAGTTCAAGTTCTAAGTTCTAAGTTCTAAGTTCTAAGTTCTAGTTCAAGTTCAAGTTCAAGATCAAGTTCTAAGTTCAAGTTCAAGTTCAAGTTCAAGTTCAAGTTCTAGTTCTAAGTTCAAGTTCAAGTTCTAAGTTCAAGTTCAAGTTCTAAGTTCTAAGTTCTAAGTTCTAAGTTCTAAGTTTTAGTTCAAGTTCAAGATCAAGTTCAAGATCAAGTTCAAGTTCAAGTTCAAATTCTAAGTTCAGGTTCAAGTTAAAGTTCAAGCTCTAAGTTCAAGTTCAAGTTCAAGTTCTAAGTTCAAGTTCAAGTTCTAAGTTCTAAGTTCAAGTTCAAGTTCTAAATTCATGTTCAAGTTCTAATTTCAAGTTCAAGTTCTAAGTTCAAGTTCAAGTTCTAAGTTCTTAGTTCAAGTTCAAGATCAAGTTCTAAGTTCAAGTTCAAGTTCTAAGTTCAAATTCTAAGTTCAAGTTCAAGCTCTAAGTTCAAGTTCAAGTTCTAATTTCAAGTTCAAGTTCTAAGTTCAAGTTCAAGTTCTAAGTTCTAAGTTCTAAGTTCTAGTTCAAGTTCAAGTTCAAGATCAAGTTCTAAGTTCAAGTTCAAGTTCAAGTTCTAGTTCTAAGTTCAAGTTCAAGTTCTAAGTTCAAGTTCAAGTTCTAAGTTCTATGCTCTAAGTTCTAAGTTCAAGTTCAAGTTCTAATTTCAAGTTCAAGTTCTAAGTTCAAGTTCAAATTCTAAGTTCAAATTCTAAGTTCAAGTTCAAGTTCAAGTTCTAAGTTCAAGTTCAAGTTCCAAGTTCTAAGTTCAAGTTCAAGTTCTAAATTCATGTTCAAGTTCTAATTTCATGTTCAAGTTCTAAGTTCAAGTTCAAGTTCTAAGTTCTAATTTCAAGTTCAAGATCAAGTTCTAAGTTCAAGTTCAACTTCTAAGTTCAAATTCTAAGTTTAACTTCAAGTTCTAAGTTCTAATTTCAAGTTCAAGATCAAGTTCTAATTTCAAGTTCAAGATCAAGTTCTAAGTTCAAGTTCAAGTTCTAAGTTCAAATTCTAAGTTTAACTTCAAGTTCAAGTTCAAGTTCAAGTTCTAAGTTCAAGTTCAAATTCTAAGTTCAAATTCTAAGTTCAAGTTCAAGTTCAAGTTCAAGTTCAAGTTCAAGTTCAAGTTCTAAGTTCAAGTTCAAGTTCTAAGTTCAAGTTCAAGTTCTAAATTCATGTTCAAGTTCTAATTTCAAGTTCAAGTTCTAAGTTCAAGTTCAAGTTCTAAGTTCTAAGTTCAAGTTCAAGATCAAGTTCTAAGTTCAAGTTCAAGTTCAAGTTCAAGTTCTAAGTTCAAATTCTAAGTTTAACTTCAAATTCTAAGTTCAAGTTCAAGTTCAAGTTCAAGTTCTAAGTTCAAGTTTTAATTTCAAGTTCAAGTTCCAAGTTCAAGTTCAATTTCTAAGTTTAACTTCAAATTCTAAGTTCAAGTTCAAGTTCTAAGTTCACGTTCAAATTCTAAGTTCAACTTCAAATCCTAATTAAGTTCATGACATTCAAACATTCATCTTCTACTCATAACACTTCAATTACTAATTTCTAACTTCAAATTAAC